CCAAACAGACGATTCATTGCAGCACAACTCGTCGTAGATGTGTGGATGTGAATATGAATGGGCTGTACGTCTTGATGTGGGACATAGGTGTACGTATAGATGTAGGTGTCTGAGTATAAGTGTGCGTGGATGAAATTTGGCGTGGAAATCTAGGTGCATGAGTTAGGATATCAATGAGGATGCACAAAAGATCCGCAATCATATCGACATACACGCACACATATTTCACATCCATAGACTCACAACGAATTGTCCCAGTATCCGAGAGAAGTTTTCTAACATTCTCAACTCGTCGAAAATGGCCATGCAGTGGATTATGTTATCTATCTTATCCTAACACAAATAAAGCCACAGTTTTCTTTGATTTTGGTTGCGTCACATAGTTCGACCGAAAAAAATGATCAAAACAAGAAAGCGAAGCACTGAAGTGTATTGAAGAGATCGACAATTAAAGTCGAATTAGGTTTCTCAGATAAGTGCATATGCAGAACTAACCTGAAAATCGGTTGAATTGTTAATTATTATGGGTGTGCGTGATTGGGACTGGTGAGATAGAAGGATATAGGAGAGTTAGTGACAGAGCCGGTCAGTTATTAAGAGTAGGTTGGTGTAATTAGGCACGGAAAAGGGTGAAATGACCGAAGAGAAGTCTCATGCTCATCCAGGCATAAGTTAAGTTTCGTGGGTTTCCACATTTTTTAGAAAAAGATTTGCAGATTATGAGAGCATTCTGCTGTTGCCTTAACTCTAAGTGTATCAAACTAGAACAGCTCTGGGCTCTCATTGGCTTATTATCCGTATCGTCCGTATGTTTCCAAGTTTATTATTTTTTCGTACGCGGCCATATGAACAATGCCGGCTCCTTCAGCGACAATGTGAAAGTCTGCATAGTAGGTAATGCACAAACCAAAAAGCACGCGTTGACTGTTCATCAGATGTGGGAAAACAAATTTGACTCTTTTTGGTTTATATGGAATGATGATACTACAGAACAAATAACGCTTCTAAATAACATTAATTTCGTCTATTCAGATGATAATTTATCATGGACCAAGGGTATTGAGTTAATAGTTAATGATATACTCAATGCCAACAAGCCTTATGACTATATTTTTACTCATGATGATGATCTAACATTTCATATCAAGCAACGATTCTCTATCCCCAAAACCTCCCTTCCAAACATGTTAATGAACATATTAGAAACGTATCAACCTGCAATAGCTAGTTTTCCATGGAGTACTGGCGATAAAACTGTTTCAGCTATGCAAGACTTAGCGTCTGCCTATGAAAATGAGACTATCTCACCACTAACAGGCTTCGACAACGGAATGGTTATTTATCATAAGTCCATTATAAACTTTTTTATACCCTTTTCACCTAGAGGTGAAGGTGGTTTTCGAGGTGAATGGACCTTGTGTGCGCATTTTCTACAAATGTTTGCTCATTTCTTGTTTGGAAAATATGCTCTACGTTTAAATATGTTTGAATATAATAATTCTATCAATATGGATAATATATCACCTGGGAATCATTTTACACAACGTATCAAAATTAAAAATGGGCTTGCTTATGTTCGTAATTCTCGTCATCCATACGAGTATCCACAGAATGAAGCATACAAATCGTTTCTTTCAGACGGATTAAAATTTCCATATCAGGCTTGGGGACGAACTCTAACTACAGAATATCGCCTAGAGACACTCGGAGCTACTGATCTCAAGCGAAAATCATTTGATGGTTTATGGCTGCTGAAGCGATTGAATGAAGTCTACGATATACGTCATGAAGCCTTGTCAAACAATAAACTTCTTCAGAATCAGTTCACGGATAAGGAAAAGTTAAGCGTTTTACAAAAGACTAATTTCAAACTAAAATTAATATTATTAACAATGAATCGACCGCTTTCTTTTGAGCGATTGTGGAAATCACTCACAAAAGCTCTTCCAATTAATCGAACTATTGACATATTTATTCATGTGGATATGGATAAGAACGACGACAAACGACGTAAATATCTTGAATATTTAAGCAGTTTAAGATGCTTACACGGAGACGTTCATATAATCGCTTACTCAACACATCGAGGTCTCAAAACGATCATGATAGAAGCCTGGCGTCCTCTTAGTAATGATGAGTATGCTATCTTTCTTGAAGACGACATTGAACTATCACCTTACTTTTTACTATACATTGACAAACTGGTAAAATCTTATTTTTACAACTTAAAATTAGACAGACGCTTATTCGGGATATCGCTCTATAATCAGCGTTACAATGAGGTACTCGACAAGTACGTAAATGTGCCCAACGGCTACCAATTGTATGCTTATCAAATGCCACAGAGCTGGGGAGCTCTCTACGCACCCAGAATGTGGCGACACTTCCTAGATTATGTCAGGAATAAACTTGACCCATTCATTCCGAATTCTTATACAAATCGGTGGCCACCAGAGAAAAGTTGGAAAAAATATCTGCTAAGATTTATGTATCAAGAACAAGGCTGTTTAATCTATCCAAACTTCCNTTAGTGCAAATGCCAAAAGTAGATTACTACTGGAGCAAAAGTCAATTGTACGGATCAGAAATCATTCAAAATACAATGTCGAGAGACAAATTCGAATTACTTCTCAAGTTTTTGCATTTTTCGAACAATGAGGAACAGAATGCTAGTCAAGATAAACTAGCTAAGTTGAATCCACTTTTCATCTTATTGAAAGCTAGATTTAAGTCGGTTTATATGCCGGTTCTATCATTACTGTTGACGAAACAATTGTACCCTGGCGAGGTCGACTCTCCTTCAAGCAATATGTTCCCGGCAAAGTACACAAATATGGGGTTAAAATGTACAAAGTAGCAGACACGAATGGATATACTTGGAATTTTAATATTTATACAGGAAAACAGAACTCAACGACTAGTCTTGGATATTCTGAAACAGTCACTATGGAATTATCAGAAGATCTTTTTGGATGTTATCGAACTGTAGTAGCTGACAATTTTTTTACAAGTATTGCTCTCGCCAAACGATTGTTGGGAAATGATACCTACCTCATTGGAACATTGCGAAGTAATCGTGTTGGATCCGGAAAAGCAATTGTCCAGAAACTGCTCAAGAAGGGTGAGATTTATGGGCTACAGAATGGCGACGGTGTTAAGTTGTTCAAATGGAAAGATAAAAGAGAAGTTTTGATGATATCTACCAAGCCGTCTCATACAACTGCTCTCGTGGACATCAGAAAAACTACGTCATCTAACGAGCGCATTATAAAGCCAAAAGTTGTACTCGATTACAATAAAGAAAAACAACGTACAGATTTGTCGGATCAACTATCGGCATACTACACATGTCTAAGACGGTCCATAAAATGGTATCAAAAGGTGGCATTTGAATTGATATTTGGAACATCAATAGTGAATAGCTATTTGATATACAAAGAAAACTATGCAACAGGCGACATCACTATCCTACAATTCCGTGAGAGTGTCGTACGATCTTTACTCCTGGGTGTGTCCTCCGAAACAACAATCGACGAGTCATTTGAAGCGCAAACTAGCTGATCACAAGCTGGAAGAAAAGAAAGGATCTGACTGTGATGTCCGAAGACGATGTGTTGGTTGTTACGAGAAAAACAGAGAACATCAATCAAGAGAAGCGTGTCATTCAACAACAAAGAGAATCAAAACTTTCTGTTCTGATTGTAACAAATTTTTTTGCCTTGATTGTTTTAACGAGAAGCATCATGCTATGTAATAAATGACTTTGAAAATAGCGAAGGTACAAAGCAGATCACACACTACGTGTAACCTTCCGCCTAAACATAAAAGAAAAGAAAGTGTTTTTCTATTAAGTTTCTTGCTAAAATATAGTGGGGGTTCACCAGTGGACCCCATCGCCTCGAATGGGTTAATCAGAAAACTCCACACTGAATAAGTAACAATACCAAGTAATAGTTAAACCGTAATCGACAATAATCAAAGTTATCAATCGATTTTAATTTTGATTTTGTTGCAGAAAAATCTGATTCAAAATTATTTTCATGGAGTGTCTGCTAACTATCTTTTTATCAAGAGAAATAAAATAGAATTTATGATTGATGAGGCTATTCTTATGAAAAGAACAATTAGTATTTAGCCATTATTTTTATTATCTTTTACTATAAAAATCTACTCATGAATTTTATATTTCATAATTATTTTTTCTAAAATGAGGAATGAAATGAAACTGATGATCTATGAGGCTAGTTCTGAGAAAGAAAATTAACATTTAACTATTTATTTTATTATCTCTAATAAAAAGCCTATTCTTGAATCTTATGTTTCATGATTATTTTTTATAATGAACAATAAAATTAAACTGATAGTTTGTGAAGCTAGTCTTGAGAAAGAAAATAAATACTTAGTTATTATTTTTGTTATCTTTAAAAAAACTTATTCTCAAATGTTATATTTTATGATTATCTTCTTTTTTTTATTCTGATAAATAAGTATAAC